TCTTCTTAACTTCAATAAATTGGTCGAACGGATTAATTTTATGAAGATTAGAGTTCAGATAAAAGTAACATCTATAATCTATATCAGTATTACAGTATACTGTAATACTGATATAGACATAATACTGATATGATACAGTATCATACTGTAATACTGATATAACATACTGAGTATGTTATTCATAAAAGTTTATGCAAAAAATGAAAAATTAAATTCAAACAGATTAATTTAATCTGTTATTAATCATTATTAGTTAATAATTCTTTTTTCATTCACGAACCAAAACCTTCCGATAAATATAAATAGAAATGGTATACAATAAAGCTAGATATTGCTAACAACTCAAATCTTCAAGAAACTCCTCCTACTATTTCCTATTACCTAAAAGGTTTCTTAAAGAATAATTTCAAAATATGTTATCCTAATATAATAGACTAAATAATGACAAAATATTTTAGTTTTGTTATTTTCTTCATTATAAAAAAATAAACCATTAAACTAGACAAGAAAAAGGTAATGCAGAAAAATACTAGGAAAAAAAAAAAGAGTTTGTATATAAAAGTAAAAGTTCTCCCAAAATTTAATAATCAATTATTATTAAAAGTGAAAAGTAAATCTTTATCAACAAAGTTATTAAAACCTAATACATTAATCAAAAATAATCCGTTATAATGACAATACCTTTTATCTAACCACAATGTTTTATTTGATATTACTAGTCCATATTTACTATTGTGTATTAAGATTGTAAAGGCACTGGTAATTGAGCCATAGATAAAATAACTAATTTTTTTTTTTTAATAATTTGTACTCATACATTGTTGTTATAGCTCATGTTTTACCAGTTTCCAAATGAACAACTAATATTTTTTGTTGCATGGATAGTATTTTATGTCATTGTTTGACAATGTTGTACTTCAACCAGATTATCTTATTTTTCGAAAAAGAATTCGCAAAATATTTGTCAAAAATGGACATCGTTTAACTTAAATGACTATAGACTGTGCAGAATTTCAAAAAGTTCAAGACAATTTCAAAGTGCAAATTTTAATTTCAAAACTCTTGAGTTTCCTCACTATAATAATACACAAACTGAATAAGTATTATGGTATTTGATGTATAATGATATTTCAGCACACAGAAGTTGTATTTTTTCAGCAATATTTACATATCTATATTATTTAATACCAGATAGTGAAAACTAGTGTGGTACATTAAGCTTTTGAATTTTTTCCAAAATAAGCACAACAAGAATTTCGACTCAAGTTACTTTATTTAGCCATCAGTCTGAATTTTTCTAAATTTCATTATAATCTATATATTTATTAGGATCAGTTTTGTATCTTTTCTCAATGATAATATTTATTTCAGTTAAATTTCTTTGTATATGTTGTTGAATATCATTGTAAATAAGTTGAAATGATGTTGAAAGTTGAAAGGATAGATTCTTTGCTTGAACACATTTCTTGTTATTATTTAAATAAAAATTTTAGTATAATAATGTTTTTAGTAGATTTTGTAGCAGTAAAAATTTTTTTTCCGTTATGCAAATAATATCACTTCTCACAGTAAACTTTTTTTGTGATCTGAAGAAGTTAGTATTATAAGTTTAGTTTTCTTTAACATAATAACAACGCATTTTTATAAAGAAAAAGCATCAAAAAGAAGGCATTTTTACAAAAGGATAGTAGAGATAGTGATGTAGATTTTACACATGAAGATAAAACATTGTAACAATGCATTTCAAAAGTTTATTTCCTTTATTTTTGACTTAATATTATTTTTTATTTTTATAACATATTTCTGGAAATTCTAATTTTCTAGGTTTATGACAATAACTGTTTTGTGTTCATTTTTTTTAAAGAGTACTGATATTAGTTTGATTTGGTTAGTACGGGTCATAGAAAATAAGTCTTTTACTTTGACAATATCATTTTTGAACTCATGATATTTTTTCCTTTGCTTCATGACATTTTTTTTTACAAATAATAACAATAAAAGGACATAAAAACATTTTTTGAAACCAACAACTCAAAAATAATATTATTGAAACCAGCAATTCAAAATATCGGTAGAATCTTATTTTTAAATAAAACTACAACAGGAAGAATTTTTCCATAAGATTTTTATAACTAACAAGCAACGTGAACATCAGGTGAACTAAAATCCATTTTAAAAGTCACAGTTTTTTTGGCTGTCCTAAACTGCTTTTACTTATAATCAAAGTATAATTTTTAAAAATAAATGAAGTGATAAAATAATACATTGAGTCTTCTCTGATTAAAAAGATAGTTGAAGGCGGGATGCTTGTAGAGTCCAAGAAAACTTTGACTACAAAACGTCATTATCTAGGCACGTGTGTAAAAATTTTAAACTATTTTTATTATTGATTATTATATATCATTGAAAAGAGGCTAAATTCAGCATTACAGTAGTGAAAATTTCATATCAAAATATTAATTCTACAAAAAGTTATGCTCATTTAAACAACAAAATTTGATTACAAGGAATGCTTAAAAAAACTGCGACCAGTTTTAAAATATCAGTTCCGGCTAACGGTAGTTTTGTTATAGAACTTTGCTACTAGAAGCGCAATATTTTGCTTTATTTACAATATTTTAAATTAGGTACATATTTTGCTACAAAAAAATTAGGTGTCTGCTACATAATCTTTTTCGATAAAATTTTGCATGCACGTAGAAAATAAGTTTTTAAATCTTTCTCAATAGTTTTAAAAATGTTCTCAACATTTCTTCAATATTAATTTGACGTGTGATCAACAACGAAGTTTTTAAGAAAAGTAAATTCAATAAAAGCGGTTGTAACTTCAAAAAAAAAACTATCCAAAAATGAAGTTTAACTCTTAACTCCACCTTTCAAAAAAAGTCTATGCTGATATAAAATCCTAAAAAATAACACAAAAAAATACATTCTTACAACTCAAACTCTAAGCACGCTTTGATAAAATGGTTGAAGATTTTGATTACACAATCAGTGCTGTAACTCATTGTTACGCACGTACCTACATTATCCTTTTTGTTTTGATTTTTATGCACGGAAAGGATACTGTTTAAATTTATATATTCTGATCTCGTGTAAGGTGAAACTTGTAGAGGAACAATGGTCTAAAAATCATTTTATAAAATTGTTTTTTATTTAAAATTATCCATTGTATCTTCTTAATTGAAAAAAAACATTCTCTTAACAACTGAGATTGATTTTGTTTATGTGCATTTATCCCCTATGAAGATGACGTCGAAATCTCATATGCCGAAACCACCCCTTATGAAAGTCCCTAATGGCGCAGAAACTAGTTTTTTTAATACATTATTGTAGAAAACATTCTATCGAAAAGTTTCTTAAACTTTTTAAATAACTTTGCATTTACACAGCAGATGATTGATGAAAATTTTAAAAAAGAACACAAAATTTTAACTATTATTTAAAAAAAAACTTCAATCGTCATAACTCTGTGATATAAGTTTATTTTAAATTTATTTCAAAGTCACATGTTTTGTCAATGGTTGAAATTATATTCGTTAATATGATAATGTTGACTAATATATAACAAACAAACGTTTATTTACAAATAATTAAATTTTTTTTTATTTGACATTAAACGCTTAAAAAAAATTATAACTATACGCACATTGTTGCTGTCAGAAAATGGACAAAACTTAAATACGTTATTTAGATTACTTGAGCAAAATTCTATTGCCAGCTATTGTCAAAATGCATTTTATATTTTAAAAAATTTAAGTTTTTACGACCCGTTTCGCCTTATCACTTGACAACGATAAAAGCTTGGTCTGCAATCTTGCTTACAAACGGTCCGCAAACAAATGTTTTTCGAAGTTGTTTGAGTATTGGTCATAATTAAGTTATTTCTTTCTTTATAATTTGTTACCATAATTATTCAGTTAGCGCATTACTTTTATTTTTAATATATATATACATCATTTTAATAAGAGCAAAGAAAACGCTACAAAACCCAAAAAAAACAAGGAACATTGCACTTTTAACTTAAATGAAAAAATATCGACTTCGTCAAAAACTGTGAGGTACTTAGGTGTTTTGCCTTATCAAGCTTACTTACAGACTAAGCTAAGTCGATCAATTGGAATGTTAGCCAAAATCAGACATTTCGTAAATTTTGAAGCATTTATGAGCATTTATAATGCCATATTAGAATCGTACCTTTAGTATGCGTGTCAGATTTGGTGTAAAAAAACTTTTTTTAAAGGAACTTATTTCTTTTTAAATTAAAGCCCTTAGAATTATTTACTTTTAAATTTAGCTATTTAACAATGTCTCTCTGCTATATAAGTTATAAATCTGGATGTTAATAATACTCTTGTTTATTTGTATGGAATTATCTTCATGATAAACATCCACTATCCTTTAAAAACTTTTTCTCTCGAATACGTAACAAACATTCTCATTCTCCTAAGATCCTTTTCATGCAACAATTTTTTTTTTAGAACATATTAGGACAACAAAATTTGGCAGCAAATTAATTAAACATCAGTGCACCAATGCTTAGAACAATCTCCCTAATTTTTTTAAAACTGTCAGTATATTTATCTCAATAAAATAAAAACACACTATTTAGAACAAATAGTAATACATAATACTATTATGTATAGTATTAAAATATATCATTGTTAATGTTATCATTATTATTATTACCTTGATTTTAATTAATGTCAATATATTTAATAATACCTTTATTTTTATTATTACCTTTATTTTTATTGTTATTTTTATTATTATTATCTTTATTTTTATTGTTATTAATACCATTTTTATTATTATAATTTTTATTAATGTTATTTTATTTATAATTATAATTATTATTGTTAATGTTATGATTTATCGAGTTGTTATAATTTATTAGTAATATCATTATTATTAGGTGTTACGCATCATTAGTAATTATACTATTTTTAAACATCCTTGAATTGTAAAATAATGTAGTTTAGAATATATTTATTGATTTTTAGGTTTAGAAAATTAAAAATGTTTGCAGAAAATGCTTTTGAAGATGCATTAAACGAATTAGACAACCCAATACTTGAAAACTATGAACTTTTTGTTCAATTTTCGGATGTAAAAATATATCGAAAAATCGAAGAGGTTTACTTCTTTAATTTATATTATGAGGTGTAATAATAAAAGCTCTTCCATTATTTTTTTTCAATTTGATTTTGCATAGATTCTGCATGCATAAAACTTTTTACTATTGCTTTAAAAAACTCTAATATTTGTAGTTTTTTTTGAATAGTTTTTTTAAAAATTCTTTTGAATTTTATATTCTAGGCAGCTAAAAATGCTTTTAGTTTATTGAAATTTTAGAGTTCTGGATTGTATGAATACAAGGTGATAGGGATTATAAATTGCGACACAGAAACTTGTCAAAAAGTTTATATGGATCTAGAGTATCGTAAGCATTGGGATACTTATGTCAAAGGTTATTATACTTTTTTACAGTTTTTACTCTATTGCTTAAAAAATAATGAGTATTATTGTTAAATATAAAATTAATAGTTAAATAAAAAGCTACAGTTTAAGACCGGGTCGGCTGGTTAGGGAGGTTGAGGGGATTTCTTTCTGGCCCCTGCTATGTCTAAATGTCCTGGACTCACTATAAATCAAGGAGCACAAATAAAACTCAAAAATACAAAATATTAACAACTAATTATTGTTTATATACATAAATTTTGCAAAGACGATACAATAAATATGGTTATTTCTAAAATATGAAGTTTTTAATAAAATATACAAAGGCATCGTAAAGCAGCCTTATATTATTTATTAGTGGTAGAGTAAACTTTCTTGAATAAAAAACTAAAAAATTCATTTAATACAATAAATTATGTGTTTTTATCAAGTCATGTGTATATATTTTATATAAGTCCAGGACTCTGGCTGGTGCAAAATTGTTTTTGGGCCCCCCTCCTTATGACTATTATTTTATTAGGACATTCAGAAAGTAATAATAGTTATAATAATAAGCACTGGCTTATAAGAAACCAGTACTTCCCAACCAGAGAGGCTCAGAAATATTTAATGGGGCTGAAGATTTTATTTTTTAGAATGTTATTATTTCTTAGTAAACATATTTCAGTTTTTTGTTTTATAAAAAATAAATTGTGAAATACAATTGGAATTCAGCTTTAATTAAAGTAAAATGGTTTAATATAAAAAATTTCTCATTTTCCAATAAAACAATTTTCTGAGAAATTTTTTTTAAATAATTCAAAAAAATTTATATTATAATAAAATCTAACATTATATTATAAAAACCAAAATTAAAATCTTTGAATTTTGATTTCGTGTTAGTAGTTATGTTCTGTAAACAATAAAATACAAATTGTATTTGGTTATAATAACCATAAACCCATTTTAGTGTGGCAATAATGTGCAGCAAATAAAGTGGTGCGACACTGCAATTTATAATTACTATATTTTTAAAATCTTAAACATGGTTTTATTTTGTATTTATTTTATTTTAAACATGTTGAATAAAATAATGGATCCTATGCCCTTAAAACAAAAACATATTGATTAAGGGTTTAACTTATTTTTGCTAAGTTTGTTGCTACCATAAAAGCCCTATCTATGTCTCTCCCCTGGGCCTCTCAGTGCCAGTCCAACCCTAGTTTAAGATAATGTTTTGTAGAATACTATTAATATGGCTTTCATGCTCTTAAATGTTATTGTGTATGTTTAGAACTTCAAGAAATATGTTGTAATGACTTTTCAGTAATATACTGGAATGTCAACTTTCCTTTTCCACTTGCTAATAGAGATGTATCCTTTTCAATATTCAGTTAAATATTTGAACTTCAAATTTCTTAAACATATATATATATATATATATATATATATATATATATATATATATATATATATATATATATATATTTTTTTTTTTCATGGCAACGTTTTGATATTAATTCATATTGTTTATTTTGATATTAATTCATATTGTCTTAAGGATGGTGTAATGATATGATATTTTTTGATTAAACAAAGGTTACACAACTTTCCTCCTGGTTTAAATGGTTCCGCCCTATCAATAATCTTTAGAATATTGATAATATATTTAGAAAGTTTAGCAGTAATAGCTTTACTTTTGTATTGAAAAGAATTTTTAAGTTTGTAACAGCAATTTTTAAAAATGTGCTCTGTTAAATAAATATAATTGAAACCACTATCCTGGTGTATTACAAATATACATAAATAATATTCCAATAGCATTATTGTCAAACATTAAGGCCCAAATATATATATATATATATATATATATATATATATATATATATATATATATATATATATATATATATATATATATATATATATATATATATATATATATATATATATATATATATATATATATATATTTAAACAATTTAAAAAGAATGTATTCTACAAAGTAGAGTGCTCAATGTTCTTAAAAGAACAGAGCAATTATGATGAGTCTTTGTTGATGAAACACAGTGTAAAATGAAAAAATTTTTTGTTAAGTGATTTTCTACTAATTTATAATTTCTCTGTTCTTTTAAGAACACTAAGCACTCTATTTTGTGGAATACATTTTTTTAAAATTGTTTAAATATATATTAGGCTTTTTATTAACATTTGTTGAGCACTCTTAATTGTATTTTTACATTCCGTGTAAATATGGAAACTCATAATTTCACTTACTCGTTGAAAAATATACCTATACTAGATGAAAAAAGTTATACTGTTTCTTTGATTGAAAAAGTTGAGCATTTTATTAAAAGAATTCGTTGGAAAGCCCATTTTTTCTTAAACCCAAATATAAACACAGATGATGTATTTAATAATAACCAAGATAATGATAATCATGGATTTAAAACAAAAAATGCCCCACCTTTTATACCTGATTTAGAAAATTTTGAAAACGACTTATTGCATTTAATTAAAACAATAAAGTTTTGCCCTATAAAAAATAAATTTCAAACAGAATTAAAGTTAGATGTTAAAAAAATTAAATCAAACCCAAATGTTTTGGTTTTTGCTGATAAAACAAATAACATTTACCAACTCACAACAGAAAACTATAAAAAAATTTTACGTGACAATATTACTAGTTCTTATGAGAAAGCCCCTAAAAATTTGGAAAGCGCAATTAATTTAGAAGCCCAAAGTATTGCTAAAAAAATAAACCTTGATAACAGAATCGAATATACTGCCCCTGCCCAAGCCTTTATAAAACTAAAAGACCATAAACCAAACTTTCAAAACAAACTTCCTTGTAGGTTATTGGTTCCCTAAAAAAGTGAGATTGGACATGTAAGCAAAATTAAATTGGACAAAATTAATAAAATTCTTAGAAATAAATTAAATTTGCAACAGTGGAAAAATACCACTGATGTTATAAATTGGTTCTCCATAATCGAAAATAAAGATGACTGTACATTTATTCAATTTGACATTAATGATTTTTACCCTTCAATAACTGCAGATATTTTAAATAAAATAATTGAATTTGCAAAAAGCCACACAGTTGAAACTGAAGAAACAATCCGTATAATAAAACATTGTACTGAAGAAACAATCCGTATAATAAAACATTGTAGAAAAACTTTACTTTAATAAGGAAACTTGGAAAAAGAAAAACATACATGACTGCTTTGATGTGACAATGGGCAGTTATGACGGAGCAGAAATTTGTGAGTTTGTTGGACTATACATTTTAGATTTATTAAGTAAAATAATCAATATAAATGATTTAGGCCTTTATCGCGACAATGGTTTAATAGTAATGCGTAAAAAATCTGGTCCACAGCTCGATAAGATTCGAAAAGATATTATAAAAATTTTAAAAAGTATTGGCTTTCAAATCGAAATAAACATAAATTTAAAAATTGTGAACTTTCTTGATGTCACATTTAACCTCTCTGAAAATTCATATAAGCCTTTCAAAAAACCAAACGATGAATTATTGTATATTAATATTAACTCAAATCATCCACCACAAATTCTAAAACAAATCCCGATTTCAATTAATAACAGGTTAAACAAAAACTCCTCTAATGAAAATGTATTTAGTTCCTCCAAACGAATATTTGAAGATGCCCTTAAAAAAAGTGGTTTTGAAAATTTTGAGCTAAAATTTGACCCTGATAAAAAGAATACAAAAAAACGGAACAGAACTAGAAATATAATTTGGTTCAACCCCCCATACATCAAAAATGTTTCCACTAACATAGGAAAAGTGTTTTTAAAATTGGTCGATAAGCATTTCCCTCCCTCTAATAAATTACATAAAATTTTTAATCGAAATACATTTAAAGTTAGCTACAGTTGCACAAAAAATATGGAAAGAATTATAAAAAGTCACAATAATGCTTTGTTAAATAAAAAAGAAATCCTAAATGAAAAAACTACAGAAAATATTGTTTATCGTACAATATATATTTATAAACCCGATAAACAATATATATTTTTATATATTGTTATCGGGTACATAAACCCGATAAACAATATATAAAAATATATATTGTTTATCGGGTTTATGTACCCGATAAACAATATATTGGCATAACAGAGGAAAAAACGTTTTGCCAATCATAAGCAATCTTTTAAAAATAAAAAGTATTCAAAAGACACCATGCTGTCAAAATATATATGGGAACTAAAAGATAAAAATATTGATGATTTTATACTGAATTGGTCCATCTTTAAAACAGCGCCTGCATACAATGATATTTCCAAAAAATGCATACTATGTCTACAAGAAAAATTTGAAATAATTACACATGCAAACCAAGAATGTTTGTTGAACAAAAAATTGGAATTGATTTCTAAATGCAGGCACGAAAATAAGTTTCTCCTAAAAAACTATAAAAATAAGTGAGCTCAAATAATAGTTACATTAAATCCCCCCTTTTTTAAAAATATTTTTATTTAAAAAAAGCATAAGTAATCATTTCTAAAGAATTCTTTTTATAATAGTGTCAGCAAATTCCACAAATGTGTGAAAATTTACAGTAGTTAAAACATTTGTGACTTCCTGTAATTTAATTTTTTGGTATAAATTGAAGTTTTATTAATTTGATCATTCATTTCTGATGAGTCTTTGTTGATGAAACACAGTGTAAAATAAAAAAAATTTTTGTTAAGTGATTTTTTACTAATTTATATATATATATATATATATATATATATATATATATATATATATATATATATATATATATATATATATATATATATATATATATATATATATATATTGTTGTTTATTATTGTATCTGGTTGAGATACAAATCCTGTTTACTTGAGAGTGATCAATATAATGTAAAAGCAATTTTTACAAAATAGATCAATACATATATATATATAAAGTGTAATTAAATAGAAAAATACAACTTTATAATGGAACTAAAAGTTTCATGCCTATCTGCAAGCTTCAGCCATATATATTATACAAATCAAGCAAAAACTGTTAAAAAATACAAAATACAAAAACAGCAGTAGAATGAGTTCCGACGTCAAAACAAAACAAATAAAAAAGAAACATAGTAGTAAAACTGCTAATCGCCAGTGTCAAATTGGGCAAGAAGAAATTTGTTTTAATGGCAGCACTTATGTAATATTTCACTCTTTTTATTTAACAAATTTGGGTCTTTAAAAAATAAAATTTCGTTACCTGTCAAATAGGAAAAAGGAAATTTTTGTTTGTTCAGGATGTAACAAGGTGCACAATAAAGAGATTTATTTTGAACAATCCTAAATAGTCATAACTATATTTTACATATTGTAAAATTGAAATAAGTTGTCAACAAGCCTGATGATGCATAATAGAAATAATGTCATTACGTGAACTATAACTAGGTTAGGACCTTTAGCATTGCAAAATAGTGGTAGCACTTATAAATAATTTTTTATATATGTAATAAATAATTTTTATATATGCAGTGTTTGTTTTGTGTATCCCTGTTTAACAAGTATAAAACAACCCAACTTGATGTGGCGTGATTTTTTTGACATCAATAACATCAGTTTTCTCTTTTTTTCAAACATCTTTGAATTTTTTTCTGCACTCTTAGTTCTTTTTTTTTTTTTTAATGTTTTTCTAAATTTGTGACCTCAAAACTCATTAAATATATACCTAAACATTGGTTAAAAAAAATATTCATCATGTGCAATATAAAACAGAAGATTACAAAGCACAATTATATCATCTTTCTTAATTTGTTGATTATATCTTCTCAGAAACAAAAATTATTGCTTTGGTCCAAATGTCACAAATTTTTTGAATTATATATTTTACAGTATCTTTTTGTTGAATATTTCTTTTTTTATGGTAAAATAAATACATATTCTGCATTTCCATGCCTGTAGTCAGAATTTGTTTTTTATTATGTTTTTAACCAATGAGATACATTCAAGAATAATGCTCTTGTTTTTGTCATATTAATGACTAGGCAAATACTGCCTAATATTATTTTTTTTTTCCAATTAAAATTTTTATAGTTTTAAAAATTTGTCCAGATTTCTTTTATTTTTCCAAAAAAAAACCTCTGTCGTGCTCTGCTGGGATTTTATAATCCAGGATGATCATTCAGACTTCTTTGAAGAAAGCCACAAACATCATAAATCATCAATTTTAAACAAAAGTGTGATCAGCTCAATTTATCTGAACATAGTTGATTGGTTTCTAAAGTTTGTTAATCTGACAGTTAGTAAGTGACCGGGGTCCTAGTCCCAGTTAAAAACAAGACTTTTTTTCAAACTCAGTGCAGGCAAAATTATTAGATTTAGCAGGGCCT